TAGAAGACACTCACAGAAAAAGCTTTGGTATTTGTGGGAGTTCTCAGTAAGACAATTCAGCTCACTGACCTCCAGAAAACAAACTTGGGAAACAAGAAAGGAGCATTTTATTGCTATTTTAGTGAGTAGCATCAACGAGTCCAAGACAGAGGGGAGAAAAACCACTTTCCTGCAGCACCAGAGCATAGTCGGTGTTTCAGACAACCGACCCAAATGCAATAGAAGACGTTTATCTGCAAAGAGGCTTCTTCTCACACAGAGTAAGTCAGTTGCAACAATCAGGAACATCAAGCTAAAAACAACTCCAGCTTCCTTATCTCCACAACCTCAATTCACCGTCTGGCTCCTTTCCAATGGATATTTTTATTACGTTTTCTCCTTTAAAACTATTACCCAAAGACACTCGTATTATTCAGACAGTTTTCATTACAGTCAGTGCTGTTATGTTAACAGTCTGCAAAGCAATCAATTACACAGTAGTGCCAGCAGAAGTGCTGAGCCTGGTGGATCAGCATACTTGCCGGTAGCTCATCCTTTCTTCTTTAGCTTTCTCTTTGGCTTTAAACACTTGGGGACAAAATCTACGTTACTGGAAACAAGACACGTTCCCAAATGAATCCACATATTTGAGAGCTTTTTAATCAAGCAAGAATCGGCTGGAAGATCCCTATTTGCCGGCTGCTAAGACGATCCAGCAGAGAAAGCAAGCACCAGAGTGAACCAAAAAGTGCTGAAATCATCATTCATCTCAGCTTAGTTGGAACAATGAGAAGACATGACAAACCAAAGAACCAAAAACCTAATTTAAAGGAGAAAAGAGGAACTGGATAACAGTTTAACTTGCTTTTTGTTGTTGTTTTGGTTTTTAAATATCATTAAGCAATACACCAGCCTTCAGTGTCCTCATCAGCTCAGAGCTTACAACTGCCAATGCAAAGAGCTCTGCCCTCTGTCAAGACTGTGATGCTGGGAAGTCCTACAGTGAATGATTGTCCCAGGTTGCCTCTCTCAGAGCTTGTGGAGAGTTTGAACAGTGTTTTCCCAAACTTGCTCCGAGTGAGTTTCTGCAAATCTCTCTGAGGTCAGAGTTGGGCACTCAACATCAGACTAACAGGAGAATAGGAGGCCAAGACAGATGTAAGGCACCACAGCATGGACTCATGCTTGGCCATGAATTCCTGGGGAGGGTTTAGCTTTCTCCTGCTCTTTGGTAATTTCTGCCTGCTTTCTTTCTCACCACCTCCCACAGTACATACAACGAAAACTGGAGAACCAGAGAACAACCATTTGCCCAACATCTCTTACAAGAAACTGCATATAAGTTGAGTCAAGAGCGATTTTAAACAATGCTATCCTCTGAACAACACCACATGGCTACTGTTAAGGAGTATTAACACACTGAAAACCAGAGCATACCCTCCAGATCCCATCAGAGCAGACACCAGAACATGGCACTTTCAACCTGTGTCAGCAGACTGGATGTCAGCAGTGGGAAGCAACCTCCAAAGAGAAGTCTTTCCTTCCAAGGAGGAATCTCAGCATGGTATTTCCCAACTAGCTGCAGCTCACAGAGATGCGGTGCAACCCAATGCTCTGTTGGCACATGGGCCCATCTGGTATAAATCAGAGCAGAAAGGAGCCCCACACTTCCCTTCAAGACTGCAAACTGGTGGATGGGAGAAGAGGGCAGGAAATCGGGACGGAATCTCTCCCAGGGGCTTCCTATAGACCAACAAACGCAGTATGGGCTCCTGCTGTGAAGTGGCTACTTCAGGATTCCACATTGCATACCCTGACAACCATCACATGCCCACTTTTGTCATGCTCTCTTAAAAAAAAAAAAAGTTTCAAGTCCCTAAACAAGATGTTCTTCATTTCCTCCCAGGCCCCTGAAATGACAGATTTTCTCTGTCCTCTACAGTTTGCAGACTGGAGCTCAAAGCACACTCATGATACAACCCGACAGCACTACATACAACAGCAATGGGCCTTATCAGGGTGGAACAAGCTCTGCAAACAGAATAATCGTCTTTCGCTTCATTCATTCGGTTTCCCTCTACTGTTACCATACTTAAATGAAAAGAAACTAAAGACTTACCCGTATGAGTTCTAATATGCTGAATATAGTTGTTTTTCCTGTCTGAAAAATAGGAGCACTGCGAGCAGGTGTATACTTTCCTGGGAAAATGGTTTCTCAGGTGTTTCTTCCAGTGATACTCACTGACGGTGGTGTAAGTGCATATGGTACACTTGTACACTCTCTCGTTTTCTCCCGCTTTGTTGTGGTGCTTCAGGTGAGCCAGGTAGTGATCGTATCTGTTAGTGTTGTAGCCGCAGCGATCGCAGCGGATCGGACCCTTGGAGAAGTCCACTTCTTCCGCGCTGTAGGAATCAGACTCCTTGATCTGCACTTGTTTCTCTGCATTTTCTTCCACGAAAAACTTCTTAGCACTGTGAACTCTGATGTGGTGCACAAATTCCTCTTCAGACTCGGCCTCGTAATGGCAAGGCTTGCAACGGAATGGTTTGTTCTTGAGGCTCTTACACTTGTCCTCAGAGCTTTCTGGAGTGCCTGGAGCTTCCAATGGGACATCTTTGTCCGTGCTGGGAGTCTCTGGTGGAGGACAAGCGTCCGGGCCTTGGGTTTCCACGTCGGGTGCTTCCAGAGAGCTCAATTCCACATTTTCCGAGGCGCCACGGTCGCTCTCTGCAGCACGGCTATCCTCCACGCCCTCCGCGTCGCTGTCTGAGAAGTTGCCGTCACCCACCGTGGTCAGCTCGGCCATCTGCCTCTCCTCTCCCACCAGATAATCGCAGCAGTTGCCATTCACCTCTCCCGTCAGGGCCACGTTGGCCAACATGATCAGCTGCGGGGCCGCCAGCTCGGCTTTGGAAAGGTCGTGCAAGTCATACATGTCGTTGGACAACGCCATGCCGATGTTAGCGCCGCCGGGGAAGAGCCCGTTCCCACCGGACTGTCCCAGCACTTGAGTCGCCATAGCAGCGGTTCTGTCGAGAGGGGAAAAAAAGCACACCTGTAAGCAGTCTCGCAGCGGGAAGGCCTCCTCTTGGCAACACCGCCCGCGGAGGAAGCGCGTCCCGAGCGTGGCTCCGGGCCGAGCCCCGCCATGGCGGCCGGGGGAGCCGCGGCCTCCGCCGAAACGCCGCCGGCCCCGCGCGGCCCGACCCGGCCCGCATCCGCCCCGGGAGGAGGCCGGGGGAGCCGGGCCGTGCCCCCGCAGCCCTCCCTCCTCCCCTCCCTCCCTCGCAGCCAGGCATGCGGCCATTTTCTGCCTGCCCACACAAAGCGGCCCTCCCCGCCGCCGCCGCGGGGCCCGTCCGGGCACGGCCGCCCCGAGGAGTCCGGGACGGAGGAGACGGCCCCGCTTCCCGCTCCCCGGCGCGGGGGCGGCTCAGCGTCTCCGGCAAGGTCACGGCGGCCGCTCCCGCCCGTCGCCCGGCGGACGAGCGCCGCCCGGGGCCCTCCGTTCGGGCCCGCGGCGGCCCGGCCGAAACGTCTTCCGGCGGCGGAGCGCGGGCAACGGCCCCGCCGCGAGCGCGGCGCGGGCGGCCGACGCGGCCCC